AGCAGAACTTACCCTGTAAGTATCCAAATTACCTCTTTAAAATTTTATTGTGAAGCCAATTTGCTATGTTGCTGTTATTGTTTAAGACAAGGAATTAAAATTGATATTTCAAGCTATCTATACAACTCATTTTACTTAAGCAAAATTATACATTTTGATGATATATTAGTATATTTCTCTGCTATCGTTGCTGTAAACTACCTTGGAATTAAATGATTATTTCCCATTGCTCCCTTCTCTTGATTAATATGTATTGGTTGCTTTAAAGATTGACTAATTTCCATCATTTATTCTGCAAGTTTTTCAATTTTCTTTCCAGATTATATAGATTTCTACAGCTTTGTCTTATTATTTTACTTTGATTTCATTTCTGCAATGCGCTTATCCCTGTTTCTTTTTTATGTTACAATTGATGCTTTCTTTGTGCTTTAAATTCAGTTTAGCCTTTGATTTTTCTATGTTCCCATTCTTGTTTAATGTTCCCTATTGCTTGTGCAGAGGATATAGGAAAATCTTGTTAGGCCTATGTAGGATCCCATAGTTTTGTGACTTCCTTTTTCCTTTTATGTGCCAGAAGTTATCTTCTTGCCTCACATTTCCCATAATTTTGGGGACTGCTTTCCTACAACTGTGTAACATCCAACTTAGTTCATGTCTTGAATCTTGTAACATCTTGTTAAACCCTTTACCTTTTTCAAGTCAAGTACAGGATTAGTTAGAAGGTGATTGATCCTAGATTACAAGTTCAAGCCTCCCTTGTAATGTTGGATGCTTTGACATTAATGTTGCCTTTCATGTGGGAGATGATGCTTCCAGTATAATGAGTCAGATATGAGTAATTGCAACACAAGCACTGCTGTTTTACTTAACAATGGGTTGACTTGCAAAGTAGCTTCAAGATCTAATGACTTGATGAAAAATGGTGGTGTTCACAAATTTGTCTTAGTTGTAGGCTTGAAGCTATAATGTTCTACCCTCCGAAGAATGCCCTTTTTGGTAAGGTAGGGTTCACTTTTTCATCCCTTAGTTGTTCAGAGTGATTCTTTTTCATTTCATCAAGACAATGCTAAGATTAAATTCATTTTTGCAGACATGGATTTTCTTTGAGTTTTTCTAGTAACTTCCCTTGATCAATCCCCTAAATCAAGAACAATTCAAGCATATATATATATATAAAGGTGGATGGAGTAAAGCTATGAGGCAGCATTATGCACAAAATCATTTCCAGGTGCATTGTCACATTCTAATTCTTTAACGTGTGCAAATTTTAAAATTTTAAATGCAAGTTGTTAGTTGTAGGAGTACTTATTATTAGGCTAATTTATACCATACTCAACTATGTTAACCAACCATTTTAGTTTCTTATTTCTTTAGGATTCTACTGTTATATGTATCCATCCATTTTGTGTTGAGAAAACTCTTCATGAATGAATACATGAACTGCATGGAGCTTGGACCTTGAATGTATCATGTCAGTGGAGCTTTAAATAACAACCAGTAGTTGGTTTTGATCAACATTGCAAAAAACAGTAGAGAGACTGTGAGAATGAGTTGCAACAGCAGCAGGAAGGTTAGTAGAGGAGCTATGGTTTTGCTCGATGATCAACAGTGATTTGGTCTCCAATTCCTCTTGATCTTGGTTTTTTCCCTTGCAGGAATGTTTACATTAAAAAATCTAGTGTCTTGATTTTGTGAATATGATAATTTTTATTCTTGTTGCTTGCTTTATTCTTGAGTTTGATTATTTTCCATTTAATTACACAAACACAGAAGAATACTAGTTAAATGTGGTATTTCATGAGCCCTTTTAAAACCATGTGTTATTTACGTAGATTAGTTTTTGATCCATGAATCCCCAAATACTAAAAGGCTCACTTTTATCTTTGTGGTCCTTATTTCAATTCGAGTTATTAGCCGAACTGAATGGATTCTTTAATGGTAGATTATAATTGGACTTGCGTATACTATTAACCCAAACAAAGACTTAGGATTTGATTTTTATATATATATATATATATATATTTATTATTATTTTTTTAATTCAACTGAATAAAACATATGGTTATTGTTCTCGAAAAAGGAAAAGTAAATGAAATATTAACATTATTAGTACATTAACTTCAGTTGAATACTGAATACTCTAGAGCCGGAAAGATTAGGGATAGTATTTAATATCAATCTAGAGCAACCAGACTGAATGCTCTTTCATTTTCGATCCTTGCGGCCATGTCTTTTGTACATGCATCCTGATGAACCCATGTGATCCTTGCAGTCGCAAATCATTTTGAATAGTTGGTTTGCACGTTATAATGTTCTAGCTTTCTTCGCTTAGCATTGATCTTTTGAGGGGTTGCACAACAGCACCGCACGTTACCTACAAAAATCAACACAAGAATATCAGTAGAAAAGCTAACTGTTAACAGCCCTGAGTATGAGCCGCATTGTAATTAGTCTCTGGTGTACACATATTATGAGTGATAGCTAATATCTGAATTTGATTTTTTTTTGTAAGGGCAAATATGTAAAATGAAGGATTTGGATGACAAGTTAACCCTTGAGACTGTAGTCTTGGGATTCTTGAGATGCTATGACATCCAAGTCTTTGAAACAATCTTTTGTTCTAAAACAGCATTTATCATATTAAGAGCCACCTATGGATTGCTCTTGATGAGTTGAATTTATATACATATTAATGTGAAATTGTTGCCTTAATATTATTGATATTTGGATGAGTTTTATGAGATTTTACTTGATTTTACATAAGTTTCATTTTTTATGTAGGAAATGACTTAATTGGAAGAAATTAGAATTCTTAAGAGCAAATACAAAGATCAAAAAGCTGAAGATTAAGTTTTTCAGAATCTAGAAGTCAGGGACCAGGACTGTTATTTTACCATTAACAGCAATGGCTAGGAAGCCAAAAACCGACACGTGAGTGTACCGTGCGCTGAACAGAAGGTGTCGGCACCTTGTTGAAGGTGTTGACCCCTTACGCAATTTTCACTCAGTCCGTGTTTAATTTATTATTATGGATGTGAATCCACTATTATTTAAATTAGTATTTTTAAAATCTTATAAATACCCATTTAAATTCATAATTGGGGGGCTTTGCATGAGAGCTTTAGGAGGTTGGTGGCAATTCTCTTTTGAACATTTTTTAAGATCAATATAGAGGATCCATCAATAATAAGAGATTAAGCATTTTAATTTCTTCAAATTGAATTTTTTTATTCCTTGATATTCTTTTGTTTATAATTATGATTTTAAATTTTATTATTTTATTATAAACTAATTTATTTTATTAAGGTTATAATGTAGTCTAATTAATTTAATGTAGATTTGTAATTTTTATATTTTCAATTAAAGTTATTCATATGATGAATTTATATATTGAATTTAATGCATTAAAATCCTGATTAACTTCCGATTGATTTAGTGATTTATGCATAAACTTGAGAAAAAATTGTATAAATTAGATCAATAATAATATAAATCTTGTGTTAGACTATAAGACCTTACCTCACATGTGGTAGTAGAGTAAGAGAAGATAGTTAGGAACTCTCTTTTCAGGTTTTCATAAAATTTAATGCTCATTAGTTTATTTAAAATTACATAGAGATATGACTAAATTAACTTAATTTGAGAAAGTTAGTTAGTTAATTTAGGGAAATCCACCATCACTTACAATAACACTCAACAAATTCGTTTTGGGAGTATATTAATCTAGAATTTATATTGATTGATTATAGTGAAGTCAATATTTTAGTATCTTATATCTTAATTAACTTTATTTTAATTATTATTATTTTATTATTTTTAATTAAAGATTCATCCTTTTCAATTGTTTGAATAAATTTAGATTAATTATTTTAGTATTCAGTGAATCACACTCTATATAAATATACTAAAATGGAAATCAAGGGCTCAAAGGTAATTATGTTCGCATGCAAATTGCAATTACTGGTCTTCCAAGTTGGAGAGACATTTATTGCCAAATCCACAGAGATGAATGCAAGAAAAGTAAATAAATTAGCACAGATTAACAGATATGACATTTAGTTTAAATTGAAAAGATGCAAAGATTGAGCAGATATAGAAGAACATATAAAGAAATCTCACCACACGGCTCCCACTTACCGAAATTCACCAGCCATGGGCTTGAACCATTGTGTAGATAATACAGGATCCACCCAAACCCAAAACATTTTTCCTTGCTTGTCTCCATACCACCCTTTCAATTCATGTATGCGTTCATGTAGAGTTTTCTCAACGCCAGATGGATGGACAGCTAAAGCAGATGGACCCTGAAGAAAGAAGAATTAAAATGGTGGTTCTTTCTAAACATAGATCATAAAGTATTCCAACAAGGAATGGAAAGTGGAAACAACATTTCTTAATAGATTCATTAGATAAAGAAAATCAATAAAAGTTGATGCAAAATGTCAATAGGTTCCAGTCAAAGTAGATGTAAAATGTAACTTAGTCCAAGTACTGGTTCTAGGTACAGCTACATAAAGTACATTTTGGTTAAGCATTTAAGCTAAAAGTTTTCTTCACTTATAAGTTTATTAATTATTTTAGGATAAATTTGCTTTCCTAATTTTCACAATAAAAGCTATATACTTTTATCTATACCCATACTCAAGTTAATCCATCAGCCGTGACTCCAAACTTACCAGGGACTTTTTATTTTCACCTGGGCATGATATATGGAGCAGCAGAGTAGGGATACATTCTCAACATCATGATGATCAACCTGCAAAAAGAGCACCATGTCCAATTTAGTAACTAATAGCAATACGGGGCACGACATCACTCTGGAGTGAAGCAAGAATTTATGAAATTATATATAGGACGTGCAAAAGCACTGAGCCGATCCATGACCACTCTACTGCAACCTCTAACCCTCCAACCAAATTAATAACTACCACAATTAGACGCTTCTATGTGAATTTAAGTTATGAATTCTACAAAATGGGACAAGTTTGAAATCACAACACAAAGAAGTAAAAACGCATGGGACCATGGAGATCGAAAGCAGTTGCAACATTCTATATGTTCTTATGGTTAAAACTGAAAACAACAAATTCAGCGAGCAGGAAAGCTTTACTTGCCTGGAACCAAAGCTGAGTGACTCAAAACTTCGAAAAATCAGTTGCGATGGAAAGAATTGAAATACGAATTCAGCCAAACTTTTAGGATTACTGTTTAGTTTCATCCCTTTAGTCCCTTCCGCCAATGAGTGCCACATCATCATTTATTGCCACGTCAAATCCTACGTGGCACATTAACCTAGCAACCTTAACGAATAACGATCGTTTAACTTCATCGGTTAATATTAACTGCGGGTAACTATATCGCACCAAGACAACTTAAGAAGTTAGGTGACTATTTTGTTAAGAGTTATGAGTTGAGTGACCAAAACATTGATTTTGATATAATTGGTTGACTAGCGCATGATATTCACCCATTAATGAACTATGAACATTTCAGGAAAAATCTAGTTTATATAGTGGAGAATAAGAATTCGGACCTAACTTGTTGGGTCATGTGACTCTTGTTATTTTACAAGGGTGTGATTTTTCTTTCTCTTGAGACTGGATTTAAATTTTCATGATACCTTGTTAAAATAATAATAATAATGGAATAAGAATTCGGCCAAAGGTATATACAATGATGGAATAAAAAAACTGTTTAATCTAAAACGAGGGAAAAAAATTTAAAAAAAAAATCAATTCTAATGAGTATTTCTTTTTTAAAAAATGCAATATGTAATTTTAATAATCTAAGTTATGATTTGTATCATATTTATGTTAATTAAGAAAAAAATATTTCAAAATTTGGTGAAAATAACAATTTGATCCAAATATTTTAAAAAATTTATAATTCTATAATATTAAAAATCTTACATTTAAGATCGAATAGCTAACTAATACTGATAATTTTGTAGATAAAAAAATAATCGTCCAAAGATGAATTTCATATTCACCTCTTTTTTATATTTGGGAAAAAAAAACATTAGGCCCTCAATTCCGTCAATATCAACAATTAAATCCTTAACAATTATTATTTTTTAGATGGAGTGGTTAGGAAGTTCCTCGATTCTAGAACTACAGAAATCAACCCAGAGTAGGCTGTACATGATAACCAATCAAGTGCCGCAATTGAACAGTGAACCTTTGCTTTTCTTATTCTCACATCTCTTAAGTTTAAACACAGTTTTATTATTTTGAATTATTATTTTGCCAGTTTCATCTTTTTTGGCAAATGGCGTCATCGTGATGTAAGAAGGTCAATATTAATTGACAGAGATATGGGGCATCATTTATTAGCTAATATAGTGATAAAAATTAAATATTATTTTTTAAAAATTATAAATTAAATTTTTTTATAAACGGTATAATATAAAGTAATTATTTTTTATTATTTAATTCACTTTAATTATATATTATGTTATTTAAATTTAAAATTTTTTTATTTTTAATAAGAAATTATTATTAAATTATTTAAATTATTAGTAAATTTTGAGTACTACTCCCTTTATTCCAAAATAATTATCATTTTCTCCAAATTGAGAATTTAAAAA